AACCAAGGATTATTCTCATCTTCGCTGTCCGTTAAAATAATGACCTCATCGTCGACGTTTAGCAGGCCAATATTTTCGATGTTTAGCTCATCATATTCATTGTCGACATATTCCTGCTTAATCTCCGTATTATCTTCATATTTGATATCAAACAATTGGGAACATGGAAATACTCCTTACTCATCGTCACTCAAATCAACAACATCAATAATCGAAAATCGCGTTTTCGATTCATGTTTTGTTTTCTTTAATTTAATCGATGATTTATTCCTAGCTGTGTCATGCTTGTCAGCAATTTCCATTTATTATTATACATACATGCTTATTGCAACATTTCCAATCATATAATTCACCAGCAAGAGTTACATGTTCTGTCTGAGCGCTTCTGACCAACTTGAACATTTTCTTTCTCTTATAATTTCTTCTAATACTGCTTCTTCAAATTAAGAGTCACAGAAAAACGGCGTGGCGCCAGGTCCGATTGTTCGATCGGGGAAGTGTTTTAAAGCGGCATACAGGTATCGATGAATTAATTGTCGGTCGCATTAATCGTAATTCATCCAACAGTCTTAAGTAATTCGACGTAAATCTAATCGACGTAAATCTACCACTTACTGCTCGATTGGGCGTGCTAAAGATAATGGTCGTGTTCACGTGCAGTCGTTCCAGAGCAAAATCCATCTCTACGAGAAACTGGAGCGAGAGACCGGAATACAAAGAAAGCTGCCTCGCTTTATTTGTGTTAATGTGTAATCATACCAATCAATTCGCACTGTGGGCTGTTTCAAGATAAATGTATGTGAATAAAAAGGAGCGATGTAAATTTTTGTCCGTTGTCGACAGTTGATCACGACATATCAACGTATTTGTTAAAACAAATTTGTTAGATGAAAATTTTGAATTGACAGGAGAGAGGCTCTCAAAAAGTGTACAAAAAGAAAGAAGGGGCCTCTTAGAACCTTGACATCCTTCTTGGAAATGTCAATAGTTTAGTGCGCAGACTGGATTGTATTTTTTATTTTTCTGTAAAAACATTTCGATTGAACGCACGAGTTTACTTTAAAAAAAAAAAAACACTTTTGTACATCTATTTGTCTGTTTATTTTCTGTAAAAACATTTCGATTGAACGCACGAGTTTACTACAAAAAAATAATAAAACACTTTTTTGTACATCTATTTTTTGTCTGTTTATTTAATCTGTTCGATCATTGTTTCAAGTTGCAATAATAAAAAATCGTTTTAAGTTACAAAATAGAAATTAAACGCTCTCTGCGAAACGCTAGGAATCTTACGTCTGTTTTACGTAGATTGCTTATCAGTGGCCGTACGTGGTATCTTGTCACGACATTCGTGCGGCCAAGCACAATTCTACTGCCCGCAAGCATTTTACACATATATATCGCGAAGCTTCTTGAAAATTGTTCGATCCTTTATTAAAACAAGTAATATTTCGTGCCACATGCAGTCGGTCACAAAATCATTCTCCTCTTCGTTCTCTTCTGCATCTATAATAAAAATTTCTTTATTATAAATCTGTTATATCTGTAACAGATATGTAAAATAATTATATATATAACAGTTATCTTCTAACAATTAGAGATAAGATAACATTTTATTCCGAACACGTGCATTGACAATGATATCGACCGATCAGCTGATTCCGCGGAAATTCGGCAAATTCCTCGTGCTGTCAACGCAGTAGTTTTATAGTGTTCAACACGAAAGATCATTACATACCGATCACAAGTTTTTTTTTCATTTCAACGATCATTGAGATGCGAGTCTCGTTTTAACTCAAACAGATTATCGAGCACCCCGCATTGTTTAGAGCGCGACATCAGTGTGGACATTTTTTTCCTCTCATCGCCTCGTTCACGTTCGACTTTTGGTGGCCAACTATTTATTTATTTATTTATTTTAACGAACACGTAGCAGCACGAAGATACACTTTGCGATAAGATCGGCTATGTACCTTGATACGAGGGGATAATATTAAAACAGAAGGTTAGTCAAACTTGCCGAATTTCGCTCGCGAAAAGTTACGAAAAATTACGTGGCTCCCTAACCTACGACGATCGTTTATATGCGACTGTTAGTGGCCGACTCGCTTTGATATTTTTTTTTTAACGAACAAGCAACGGCACGAAGATACGCTTTGCGATAAGGTCGGCTATGTACCTTGATACGAGGGGATAATATTAAAACAGAAGGTTAGTCAAAACTTGCCGAATTTCACTCGCGAAAAGTTACGAAAAATTATACGTGGCTCCCTAACCTAGTTTCTTAACCTATAACGGTTGACACCTGACTTCAATGTCGATCAAATTTTTCGGATAATTCACCTTCTATCTGAAAAGAAAAGCATTTAATCCAACACACGGCCCGATTAGTTTCAGCAACGAGGATGTCGGCGATGTCGATTTTTAATAAGAATGACTCGGTACTGCTAGTGGGAGAAGGCAACTTCTCGTTCTCCGCAGCATTGTCGCGAGAATTGAAACAGAATTTGAACGTGGAGCTTATCGCCACCTGCTACGAATCCGGCGTGAATAGTCAAGAGGCTGCGGAGAGAAATGTAGCTTATCTTCGTGGCAACGGTCAGTAAATTACAGATCCGCGTGTCATTCGCAAATTGCCAAATTGGCCAAAGTAAATTATACATGTATGAAAAAAAAAAAGAAGAAACCCTACATGCTTTTCTTTTCAGGTATCCGCGTGTTGTTCGACGTGGACGCTACGAAGTTGGAGGAGTGTCCCTCGTTAGAGTCGCGGCTGTTCGACAAGATCATTTTTAACTTTCCCCACGCCGGCGGCAAGATGAGAATAGAGAGAAACAGGGACCTGCTCAGGGGCTTCTTCGTGTCCTCCGAAAGGACGCTGAAGAGAAACGGCCTGGCGCTGGTGACGCTGTGCAACGGCCAGGGTGGCACGCCCGTGGACGTGCCCGGGAGACGTTGGGACGACTCCTGGAAGATCGTCGAGATGGCCGCGCACGGGAATTTCGTATTGACGAGAGTCGAGCCGTTCTTGTGGCGGTCCCTTCGGGACTACGTCGTGACGGGCTATCGCGGTCTGGACAAGCGATTTCACACGGCGGGCTCGCTGACGCATTTCTTCGCGAGGAGCGAGCCACCCGGGCCGCACAATGTCGCACCCGGCGACAAGATAGGCACCTCCGAATACACCGCGGTGGACAATGTCACGTGGAGGGACGTGAGGAAAAGTATCCAAGACAAATTGGACCGCGGCGCCGAGTGCATCTACCCGTGCGGTTTTACGTTCGACTTGACTCTGTCCACCGACCGGGACTTCGATACAGCTGAATTTTACCGGTCGCTGCACAATTACGCGGGGTCTGTCATCGAGAGTGTAGATTTGATCGATTGCTACCGGTCGCCCGTAGACGAAAAGCTAAGGAGAACCTACAGGATAGACTACAAATCAAACTGCTTGCCGTTGTACAGGAGGAGAGTCATTGAATTGCATCAAAATGTCATTGCGAATTTTGTAGAGGATAAATTTAAAGTCACCGTGTCGAGATGAACGCACAGCTAGAGAACGATTTTTTTTTGTATCAAAAAATGAATCTAGGTTTTATTGAATCTAATGGTACATACATTGATTTATTTTATTATTGATATCACGTAAGAATGTGGCGAGGCTTACACCTTTTGCTTCTTTCCAGATGCATCGCCTTCGTCGCTTGAGCCGTATCGTCGCGTGCGGCATAATTCCAAGGCGAGGCGGTGAAGCTGCGTCGGGCGGGATTAGGTGCGAGGCTTCAACTGGACTTAGAGCGTTGTCCGCCACCGCGTGCGTTCGTAAAGAGGAATCCAAAGCTTTACGTAGTACAAAACCGAAATCGAAGAATGACACTCTGCAATACTTCGTCGATATAAAAACAGTGAGGAAACGTTTCACCGAGATATTACCGTTACATATTTGCAGTTACATTTCATCTCGTTAACGTTGTCGATCGTTTTTCGTTTAGGTGAGAACAGTTGGGGGAAACGGCGGCGATGGGCAGATATCGTTCCTGCGACTGTGGGTCAACGATCGAGCCGGTCCTGACGGTGGTGACGGCGGGCACGGTGGTCATGTGATATTCGAAGTAAGATTACTAACGATAAGGCTTACATAAAGTTAAATTGCGTGATCAATAAAGTACAAAATCGAGACGATGAGACGTTTATAGTATTAAATTTATATACGTATTTATATTTATATATTGATTTCAATTTGTATCGAATACGCGATGCACGGTTTTATCACGCAGACGACAAAGAACGTGAAGGATCTCGGTCAGATAGATTCCGTGATCACAGCTGAGAACGGGGAGAAAGGCTACAGCAAGGATTGCTTCGGCAAAAATGCGGAGCACACGGTGGTGAAGGTGCCCGTCGGCACGCTCGTGCGCGACGTGAACGGCAGGATATTGGCCGACCTGGAGAAGACAGGAATGATGTTCATTGCCGCGAGGGGTGGCGCCGGCGGGCACGGGAATGCCTTTTTCAAGTCGGACACCCAACAGACGCCTGAGATTTCCGAGTACGGCGCGATCGGGGAAAACTTGCAGTACGTGCTGGAAGTGAGGAGTATGGCCCACGTTGGATTGGTGAGCACTCCTTCAGTTGTGTGATTTTATTGTTAGCACTCGAAAATAAAGGGCATTAATTTCCATGGAACATTTACTTGTGCACAAATGCTGTGCGAATCATTTTTTTTTTATTTTTATCGCGCGAAACGTTTGAGAACAAAATAACTGTGTGTTTCATGTTCGTTAAACCAGATCGGTCTGCCAAATGCTGGCAAAAGTACGCTTTTAAGAGCGATATCCCGGGCCCGGCCAAAGGTAGCGGCGTATCCCTTTACTACTTTGAAACCCCACATAGGCATGATACAGTACGACGATTACGAACAAATTGCAGGTAACTCACGCGTTCGTAGCCCAACATAGAAATTACACGTGAACTTTCTCCTGTGTATTTAATTTCTTCTTGTAATCTATTTTTTATTTTAGTGGCCGACATGCCCGGTCTCATAGAGGACTCGCATAAGAACAGAGGGCTCGGCATAACTTTCCTCAAGCACGCGGAGCGTTGCGCCGCTTTAATATTTATTATAGACGTGACGCAGAGCGAGCCGTGGGGAGTTCTGGAAACTTTGAAGCACGAGATTAACCAGTTTAACGAAAGCCTGAACGGCAGGCCCCACATTATTGTGGCAAACAAAATCGATTTGCCAGGTGCCGAGGTGAGCGGCTAAAGTAAATTCTCCGACCTCACTCGCCTCATTTTATTGCCACGATATACTTACACGTCATCACCAATTGAAGAGGCAACGGTAATTCGTAATAAAGCTTTTGAACAGTCTTTTATAGTAATACACAATTTGTATTTCAGGTTAATTTACAGTTACTCAGAGAACGTATAGATTTACCGATAATTCCTATCTCCGCCAAGGTAGGAACCAACATTTCCACTTTATTGAAGGAGATTAGAAGATTGTACGATAATCTGAATATTAACACATCAGAAGAAAACACCGAGCTGTCGGTGTGACTTCTTACATAATAAATCCGTAAATAAATCCATAAAAATGTGTATAAAGAGTCCCTTATGTCCTTGAGTCCTCGCAATGGCGGTTAACAAGCGCGTAACTTATGAGGAAAATGCAAAATTCTCCACGACACATTTCACCTGCGGCTGATTCAGAATCGTCGAAAACCACCTGTTCAAATTCGTATATCGCTTTTTGTAAGATATATTAAAGCCATGTTGCTTTCTGTTCGTGCGTTTCTTTCTGTAATCAAATACATATTCGTATAGAGGCAGCAGTGCGGTGAAAAGGGATATATCCGCGAGCGTGATCCTCTCCCCTATCAAGTACGTCCTCGTACGTAATACGTCGTCCAGGCCTCTCAGAACGTGAAGAAGATCCGCCACTTTCACCGTTCTATTCTCCTCTGCTTTCGCATCCGGTACGGAAACGCCGAGCGACAGAAGCGCACAGCCGCTGACCACCGGTGAGATGTGATTTTGCACGTGGCTCATCCATTGCAAGACTTGACTGGACGCGAACAAATCGTCGTCACGCCGTAGCTGCGAATTCGACAGAAAGAACGCGATGGCATTGCTATGGTGTAACGTAACATCCGCTGTCTCTAACGCTACGTCGCTAGGATAAATTTTATCGTCGACTTGCTTAACGGTCAAACGTTTGCCGCTGTACTGCGCGATTATTTGTGCCAAGCAACACTTAGTGCTCCCGATATTCCCATAAAGTACCAAGTTTAATGAAGGCCCCGCGGCGTTAAGTAATTGAATAGTTTCTGAAGGCTTACAAGCACCTTTAGCAGTATTGTGGTCTGAAAGCAGACACAATTGCTGATAGCTATAGCAAATTAATCTAGATGATTAGTAAAGAAACTACTGTATTAGTATCTAGAGGAAAAAAAAATTACTCCATTTCCAAGCTTACGAACTATAGAGAAAGCACCTCTGTGAAATTGGCCTCACTTTTTTTGAAATTAAAAAAAAATTCAGAGTTCCTCCCGAAGAATTCTAGACTTCCAAACTATTTTAGAAAGAGTTTCGTTGATTAAAGCGATGAAAATACTATTTGAAGACATGGGGGAGCCAACGTCACATTTCTATAACTTTAAAAGACCATAACTCTTTTGTTTTTCATTCAGCGCTTCGATCATTAAGAATAATTGATAGAAATCTTTGAGGGGGCTACCAGAATTTTCAAGAAATTGTCGAAATTCCCAAAAAAATTTTTTGAAAATTTTTAAGTCTATCAATATCAACCGAAACGCTAAAATGAAAAATAAAAGAGTTATGGCCTTTTAAAGTTACAAAAATATAAAGTTGGTTCCTCCGTGCCTTCAAATGGTATGTTTTCATCGCTTTAATCAACGGGATTCTTTCTAAAATCGATAGGGAACTCTAGAACTCTTCGGGGGGCAATCGGAACTCTGATTATTTTTTTCGAATTTTAAAAAAGTGGGGCAAACTTCACAGAGGTTAGAAAAGCGTAATTCTACGGTAAAATTACAGTACTATAATATAAAACTGTAACTGCTTCCACACTTACTTGCAATCCCAAGTTTTTGGTAGGCAAACTCATTGGCCTTGCTTACTACTTCGTTCAAACATGTTATATTTGAACCGGAAGCCTGCGCGGATTCGGGCTTTCCACCTCCTTTGCCCTGCATCAGAGACGCGATCGCCTGGATCCATTCATTTGCCTTCAGCCCTTTGGATACCGCCGACTGCGAATGAGATCGATATCAACAGTTTTTTTTTATTTTTTTACTTTTATCGCGACGCTCGAGACTAAACGATCTTACTTTGGGAACAGAACTGAGCGCGAATATCTTATTGACGTCGCGATCGACGCTTATAAGCAAGGCACTAGTTTCCGGCGATATAGCTCGGATTTTCTTCAGCGCCGAGTCCAGAGCTTTCGTATTACTGTAGGCCTCGAGCACCTCGATCAATACTTCGCATCCAACTTTGGACTCTATTATAGACTGTGCGGTCTTTACAACCGTGGTGGCGACGGCCGCCTTTGCCGCCCGTTCCTTGTCGTCGAGAGATCTCTTCAATTCTTTCAACGCGTTGCGCATGTTATCCTGTATTGGGCAAGAAGACAAAAATTATTTTCGTAACAATTTTATCAGCTGAAATGGATATGCTTTTACTAAATCTAATTGCCTTGCTGTGCGCAGAAATGAGGGCATGAGATATCTCGTCCGACAGTTCCACTATCTTTCTCACGTGCTCCTTGGAGTTCGCTCCAGACTTGTCGGCTTCGATCGTTGCTTTAATCTGAGCTAACCGTTCCTGCAACATCCTCATCGTTCTTATGGCTTTCGTCGCTTCCGGTCCGGTGAGCGCTACTATACGCCGGATACCTTTAGCGATGGCATCCTCGCTGGCTATTATAAAATCACCTATGTGGCCGGTGTAATGCAAATGCCTGTGGAACAGATCGTGGAACTTGAAGCGAGCACGATTAGAAAATATCCCAGGTAGCACCTTGAAAACGTTTCTGAGTGGTTAAAATGTCCACTCGAAAAACGTTTCTTTTTGGTAAAGAAAAAAAAACGTAGAGGAATATAATCGAAATATTTTTTCTCTATCTGTGAAAAAATTTGCTTGAAAAAAAACGAATACGCAAACTTTTTTACAGATAGAGAAAAAATAATATTTCGATTATATTTCTCTTTTTTTTTACCAAAAAGAAACGTTTCTTTAAACGTTTTTCGAGTGGACATTTTAATCACTCAGAAACGTTTCTGAAACGAATACGTGCTGGGATGCAAAAACGATTTAAGCGACACACTCACGTTCCCCCGCAAAACTCCACGCTGGTTTCAAGCGCAGCTGTACTCAAGGGATTCTTTTCCAAGTTTTCGATTGGCACGCCCATACTAATAACGCGTACCGGATCGGGATACGTCTCTTCGAACATCGCGCGCAAACCCTGAATGGCTTTCGCTATAGCCAAGTTGCTCTCTTTAGCGTAAATTTTCTTGTTTTCCTTGATCATTTTGACGGTAAAGTCTTCCGTCAATTCCAATTGTTTTTCCGTCATCGGTCCTGTTGTGCGAAGATTTAGTTAATTCATCGAGACATAATCTCGATTTTTAACTCGAGAGCATACCTTTATTCGTAAAGTCAAAGCGGAGCCTGTCAGGTGCAACCAACGATCCTTTCTGATCGGCTTCCGTCCCCAAGACCTTCCTAAGCGCATAATTCAGGGCGTGCGTGGCACTGTGATTTGCCATCACGAACCGTCTACGTTCCGTGTCCACATTCGCGTGAACCTTATCGCCTTTCCTCAATGTGCCCTCGCCCACGGTACCAATGTGCAACACGTAACCGGCTCTGACTTGAACGTTCTTCACGCGAATCTCTGTAGCCTTTAAAAAGCGTAATAACGTTATAAGCAAGCTTGCTTTTCGTTAAAATAAAAATCGAAGTAAAAATTAATTTTCGTATACCTCATCGTCGACTTTCACTAAAAATCCTTCGTCGTATATCTGTCCTCCTTGCTCCGCGTAAAAGTTCGTTCTGTCCAGTAAAATTCCAACTTCCTCGCCGGAAGATACCTCGTCGACGAAAGTCTTGGCGCGTCTCAGCGCGATTACGGTGCCAGTGCACGATGCGAATTCGTACTCCTTACATTTAACATCATTCGTTACCTTATAATTATATTTGGGTGAATCGTCTGTCGGTTTAACACCTTGCTTCTGCAGTTCGGTGATGGCATGGACATCCAAGTTAATTTGATCATCTACACCGCCGGCTTTGTTTTGAGAAATTAACTGTAAAATTGAAAAAATATTTACGATCGATATCAAAGTGAAAATATAAAAAGTGTGTCCATTAATTAATATATTAATGGTTTTATATATCGAAATGTAATACCTGTGCCTGTTTCTTAGATTCCTCGTAGCCTGCCATGTCGATTTTCAAGCCTTTCTCCTCGGTCATCAGCTGAGTGAGATCTATCGGGAAACCGTAAGTGTCATACAAGCGCCACGCGACATCACCTGGCACAGTGTCGGTCGACTCCAGCTTCGTTATCGTTCTATTCAGCAGGTTACGACCCCGCGATAGAGTTTTCAAGAATTGGGTCTCCTCCTCGTTGATGACCTCGATAATACTCTGCGGATCTTTTTTCACTTCCGGAAAAACATCACCTGCGGTAGCAAAAAACTGACTTTAGGAGCGCAAAAGTAGCAAAGAAAAATACAAAGGCTTTTTTTTATTACGATAGACATTTACCCAGAAGGTCCACCACCACGTTTACGAGAGTCCCAAAGAAGCCCGGCTTAGCATTTAGCTTCTCGGTCGCGTAGCGCACGGCGCGCCGTAAAATTCTCCTCAGCACGTATCTATATCAAAATAAAGATAATTGATACAATTAGATGGAAGTAAATTTAGTTATATTAAAAAGCAAAGAACGGAGATTTAAAATTAAAAATAATATAGCTTACCCTCTACCGGTGTTGTCAGGCACTCCTCCATCCGCCAGCGCGATTGTGATAGTTCGAGCATGATCAGCCAGAACTCTGTACGCCATATCGATCCCGTCAACATCGTCGGCTCCTATTTTACCTTGATAGGACGGGGCACCTGTACCCTTCTCGATCGCGGCGAACAGAGGCATGAACAGATCGGTGTCGTAATTAGCGCGTTTATTTTGAATCACCGACACCAGCCGCTCCAAGCCCAAGCCGCAGTCTATGTGCTTCTTCGGCAACGACTTGAGGCTGCCGTCCGACTCCCTGGAATATCAACGCGATTAAGACTTTGTTCGCGGGACCTCGAGTACAGCTCGAGTTACAGTCTACAAGAGTTTTTGAGTACCTATTGTACTGAATGAACACCAGATTCCAGATCTCCAGCACATCGGGATCGTCCATGTTCACGAGATGAGCCGCATCCCTGCCACCGATACGATCGTAATGCAGCTCGCTGCACGGTCCGCAGGGTCCAGTCTCGCCCATTTCCCAAAAATTGTCCTTCATGCTGCCCGGTAGAACGTGCGAGGCAGGTATTCTGCAAATTTGTATTTTATACAAATCTTTAAAATCTTAAAACAGAAAAGGAATATTAAAATATAAAAAATCGAAGATTAAAATACATTAATAAAGAAAAATGAGACATCACATACATGGTAGAATTAGGGAAATAAGATTACATGTAAAATAAAATTTAAAATAATAATCATAAAATTATCAATATAAACTGTTTAGAGTAATAATATTCTAAAATGATTAAGTACCCAAGCGAAAGCCAGAGATTCTTGCACTCGTCGTCCGGCGCCAATCCGCTCTTCTCGTCCCCGCCAAAGTACGTGACATACAATCTGTCACCTGGTAGCTTCAGTACTTCTGTCAAAAATTCCCAGGCCCAGGTGCATATCTCTTTCTAAAAAAAAAAATAATAATATAAATCCTTAAAGTATAGAAATTTGAAAGATGATCATCGCGATTCCATTGAAACAACGATATTACCTTGAAATAATCGCCGAAGGACCAGTTTCCCATCATCTCGAAGAACGTGTGATGGTAAACGTCTTTGCCAACGTCGTCCAGATCGTTGTGCTTGCCACCAGCTCGAATGCACTTCTGGCTGTTGACGACGCGCACCCACTTCGCCATGTCGCTGTTGGGATCGACCGTCCCCAGGAATATCGGCTTGAACTGAAACGCATTTTGTAAGTGCAATGAAAGAAACAAGGTCGGATAATAAATTCAATGTAAAAAAAAAAAAAAAATACAATCGTGGACGCACCTGATTCATTCCGGCGTTCGTGAAGAGCAGGGTCGGATCATCGTGGGGTATCGTCGAGCTCGAGTGCACGTATTCGTGACCCTTGCTCTTGAAGAAGTCGATGTAGGCCTGCCGTATCTCCTTCGCGTTCATGGTGCCCTTCATCGCGATATCCCGGGGTTCCACGAGGGTTCTGTAAACACAAGCTGTACGCTGTCCAACATCAATTTGCACCGCGCGATTCGCCATATGGTCTCAGGTTGCATCAGCCGTGCAGGTGAGCCATATGATCAGAAACAACACCGTGCAACCTCCTTTATTTAACTACATTCCGCGGTATCTCTGATTGGGATTTAGACAAACGGCGGTAAGGGACGGGGACGAGGACAGGATCTGCGGGACTTACCGTCAGGTGAGACCACGGAAATCGAAAACGATACAGCCAACAGTTAACTCGCGCGGCTTCAGCTGGCAGAGGCGCGTGCAAAGGAACCGAACTCCGAAGGCGCGGAAGGAGGAAGGAGAGAGAGGGAAAGAGACAGATTCAGATCCAGAGCATGTGCGCACGTGTGTTCGCACTTTCGAGCCGGTAAGCTAGCGAAGGAAGAAGGAGGTCGATTTGCAGATTTACCGATAATCACGCGCGAGCTAAAGCAGTTGGGTAAACATCGTAAACACTGTAAAGTGTAAACCAAGGGAGACTGTAAACAGACGTGAGCGGCAGGTGAGCGGTGCGAGCACGGACGGACTGAGCACAGGTGGACAGAATCGCGCGAGATGCCGTTTATGATAGGCAAGGAGCCCGTGCGGCGGACGATGAAGTATCTGATGGACGGCAGACTGGTCCTGAAGGATAAGATACAAATAATGTCCATCAATTACAACACGCACGGGCAGCTTCACAAAGGCACGAGGTAAAGGTTAAGCCGGTTATTCCGTCATGTAACAGCTGATTTTTTTTTTATGATTTGTTGTTACTTTAACGAGCCCCCTTTTCTGTCTCTCTTCTCCCGCAGAGACTTCGTGTTTTGGCATCTACCGCAGCTGCAGTTCAAGAATCCACGTGTGCAGATAGTTACCTTCAAGAACATAACCCCGACGCCGTTCATAAAATGCTACTACGGTAATCATTTAATGGTCAATCGATTTAATTTTTAGTTTCAAACGAGATTTAGTCATTGCGAGATTTAGAACGGTGGAAGCCAAGTGAGCGAGATGCGATTGACGCGAACGGTATGCTAGGCAGTTTTCCAGTAGATTTGAGCAGGATGTTATGGCAGATCGACATTATACGCTTGTGTTTTGGAGTCCACATATTTTTATCTGACAGCAAATTGCTAGTAGAAGCAAATTCTGTCGCTCGCGATCATTTGAATTACAATTGATTACAAAAACCAAGTAAAATCTATCATTTTGCAGCTATTTAAGTGATTACAAAATAGTATCTTATATAATAACTTGATTTTTTCGTACAATCTATCGTTGGATTTTGTTAATTTCCGCTGACATTTTGCTGACAAAGTTTGCAGCAGATAAATTCTGTGGAATCTATTTTCGACAGGCTTGATTATCTGGGAAACTGTACAAAGCAAAAAAATACATGTTGCAGACGACGGTAAGACGATGCTGATAGACATAGACAGCAGATCGAAGGACGAGATACTCGAGCATCTTACAAAAGTGGTGGGAAAATCGGAGGAGATATTGATCGAGGAAGCCAAAGCACGGGAGAGGAAGGACAATCCGGCGAATTTTGGAGTTGGCTGCAGCAGGAGCTGTATCTGCCACGTCCCGGGACAGCTGCCGTGTCCCGGCATAGTGCCACTGCCGTATCACATGCGAGGAAAGACCAGGCATGGAAAAGCAGAGGCAGAATAAAGAGTAGACCGACTGTAGTTGAAAATTCTTGTTACACTTGTATTATAATTGTATGTATTACATGTACGTGTGTGTGTATGTGTGTGTGCGTGTCTGTGTATACCTTTATCTGTATCCAAAAGTATGAACAATGGAAGTAACTCGTACACTTTACATCTTATTTCGAAGCACGTCACATATGCGTTCGCCATAAAAAAGATCTCCATATATTACGAAAATACACGTTATGTACGCTAACGTACGTATTCCCTTACAGAAATCCAATATTGAAAACTATTCATCTTGAGTATTGAACAACAATTACTTTTAATACTCGGAAAAAGTAATCACTCCATTTTCCAGTATTACATTTCTGTTAAGAGTTACATCACACGGACGATTTGACAAGGTCGTAGCTCATGTTTCTCGTATTTTCTCGCCTGCAGAAATCAACGCGTTTGCCTGTCTACGACCGAGAATTGCTTGTACACATGTAAGCATGTTAACAACGAGAAAATACATACAAAATTCATTTATACAAGGGCAAAATGTTTTTAATAAACGGTATTAAATAGGTAGGCATTTTTTACGTTATAAATAATATAAATATCGTCATGAAACAAATGATAACGATCGGTTAATCGATAAATGGGGTAAAAAAAAATGTATGAAATGCGCGAATTATCTTCTCGGCTTGTGGCGACTGTACGGCTTGTTATGATGATGGTAGCTCCCACGGTTGTGGTAACGCGTGGACGTGGACGGTTTTTGATTCTCCGCTTTTTGATAGAGCTGTATAACTGGCGACCCTTCCAGTGGTTTGTTCAACTCGAACTCCTCTTCCGATTCTTTCATCAGCTTGAGCTTCGCCTCAATCGCTTGTATTGCCGTTTCGCGACTGCGAGGAAAAAAATTTGCAGGATTTCAATTAAACACTCCTCATTCCTAATTGTTATCCAAGAAGAGTACAAAATCCTTACCTTATCTTTTTATCATCCTTCTTTGCACCGGCTAAGGCAGGAATCTCTAGCTTTGGTTTTGGTTTATCCATGTCCGACTAAACAACAATTTATTTATTTTTTTTTTATATCGCTTGTCCTTGTACGGAGAAAATTGTTCAAAATTAAATAGTAATATAGTTTACAAAAATTTTATTTTAAATGCATTCCATGAAATAATGCATTATAAATTGAATCTTTAATTCAAATTGGATTTAAACTTGAACAATTATAACAGACAGTGAATGTACCGTACCTCAGTGACACTATGTGCCCATCTGACAATGATATTCTTAGCTCCGACTCTCAAGTTATGTAGAGCATCTTTCGCCCTCTTGGCGTCTTGGATCGTTTGGTAAGTAACAAATGCATATCCCCTCGGCTGACCGGCTTGAGGCCCCGACCGATGAAACAGCAGGTCGAACTTTTCGATTGTGCCGTATTGTTGGACGAGTTTCAGGAGTTGGTACCGGTTGACAAAAAGAGCGTTAGTTTTTCTTTTCAAATTTTAATGTTTCAATGCAAAGCATCTTTCACATGCATCAGGCTGACCAAGAAAAACTTTACAAAAGCTTTCCTTAAAAGAAAAATTATACAATCATGTAAATACTTACTCATTAATTCTTAAATCTAAGTTGCCCACCCACAGGCGTCTGTCCTCAACTTGATTCGCTTTTATGGGTTCTAGCGGCAAAGGAACTTTAGTATCTGGCTGTAAACAAGATAAATAATAATTTACCTACAGAAGTGTTCACTTAAAAATGGAGACACTAAGCCACCAAATACTTTAAATACTTGAAAAAATCAGTTTATAAACTGGAAATGACTTCCATCAAACTCTGATTACATTAACCAGCAATCAAATCAATCAGAATCACTTAAGGAGCAAGACTCTTTTAACACAATTTGTAATCCTAATCTAAACCTTGTTGGACAAGAAATTAATAAATGTATTAATTAACAAAATACTACATTTGACAAAGCAATCAGCAATTAAATTAACCTGAGTTTGGTCGGAGGAGTCAGGAATATTGAATTGAACATTAAACTCGACCGTTGCTTCAGTCGCAACTAATCGCTGTGTTTGTAAATTATTCTCGATCATACAGTCTGCAATTTCAACGATCCTGTGTCAATGTGACAAGCTCTCACCTCCATTCTAAACGGGGCGAAATGTTGGTCGAATCAACACTGAGAAGCCTCGGCGATCGGCGAGCGTGGCATCAGTCTTCGGGGGGGATTCTTGAATCTTGTGTTGCGGAGGAGGAAAAAAGAGGCTGCTTGATTTACCGCGACGTTCGCGGGGAAGACTCGTCGAATCCGAGCGGGAGAACGCTCGCCGTCACATCCGACTATCGGGGCGCCGCGGGGACGAGGAGGACGCGCGACGAGCCGGACGTTTCGCGGCGATCTCGCATCCTACAGCGGCATGTGGCTCTCTCGCGTGCGTACGAGATCGTCCGAGATATAAAAAGTCCGGGATATCGATCCTTTTCTCAGTCACGGCACACGCTGGACGAGCTCTCTGGCCGGAGCGAAACGCTGTCGAATTGACATTCACGCTCGCGCACAAATACACACACGCGCGCGCGCGTCCATATGTTGAAAAATTCGCCGCGCGTCCCCCTCGACATATTGCGGCGGAAACGGGAAGCAGGAAGAGATGCAAACGTGTTGACGGATGGTAACAGAGATGTTGGTAACGCGGAGCGTTTCTCCGTCGTGTTGTCAGTCAGAGAAATATAAGGTGAAGGGCGGTGAAAGGGGATCGGACGTCAAAACTCCTCGTTGTTGCTCCTGTCGAGGGAGATGGTCAGTAAAATTACCTGAAATTAATAGGAGAAAAAGAATGAGCGACTTCTTGGCGGCTAATAATGTCTGCGGGCAAAACTTGCTGCGGCTGGTGTCCCGTGGGAATGCAATCATAGCCGAACTGATGCGACTGAAGGATTATGTACCGCCGGTCTTCAGGTCAGTGTTTGTCAGGGAAAAATATATATCTTGTCGATTGAATAATTAACAGGGTCAGTGTTTACATTACACGGACACGGCTATAGCTACAGCGTATTATGTGTTGATTTAATTGTAATATGCAAACTTTATATGGGTAGAATTATTGTATGGATAGAAATATATTGTTTACATTCTAATAGAAACTTTATTTTTATATAAATTGTATTATTATTATTATTATTATTGTATTTGATACTAATTATTGCCATCTTATCATCGCAGCTTGGATTCAAAGCAACTGATACAGAAGTACGGATCGATTATAATTGACTTTGCATACTTCAAGGCAGCCAGTGTTTACGAGCAAAAGATAGAGGATGATTTGGTAAATGCCAACATTTTCTTGCAATTTTTGTGAGACCGTAATATTGTTAGAAATAGGAAGATGCAATGTATCATCTGTATTCCTATTAGACACTCCAAGAAACCGACGAGGAGCTCCGGAATAACTTTTCAGACATACTCGCAAGGTTTTACTTGGCTTTCGAGAGTATACACAAGTATGTCACAGACCTGAATTTTTACATCGATGAGTTGGGGGACGGAGTTTACATACATCAGTCGGTAGACTCTATTATGTTCAACGAGGAAGGGAAACAATTAATGGTATGTTTCTCTCTCTCTCTTTTTTTTTATACATATCAATTTGCTTGGCAGAGAATCCAATGTTGAGTACATATACAAATTAAAACGAGGCAATTAAACCTTTGTGTAGTGCGAAGCCGTATACCTGTATGGTGTCATGCTGCTGCTGGTCGATTATCATTTTGAGGGCCGAATACGTGAGAGATTGCTCGTGTCCTACTACCGATACAACGCCCAGCGGTCTTCCTCGACTAGAGTGGATGACGTTTGTATGCTGCTCCGTTCAACAGGATACGTGAGGACGTTGTCCAAGAGACCGGCTAATTATCCTGAGGAATATTTCAAGTGTGTAATCTGAGTACGAAAAAAAAATATTTAGCTCAAGATGCAGCTGAAATCTTCAGATTTCATCTTCATCTTCGCTTACAGTTTAATAGAATATATGCGCTCTTTTTTTTTTAGGAGAGTACCTTTGCAAGACTTCCTGATCGATTTGGTCATTGGTCGGCTGCGCTCGGACGAGATCTACAATCAGACTCTCGCCTTCCCGCATCCGGAGCACCGCAGCACCGCCGTGGCCACGCAGGCGTCAATGTTAGTCATAATTTTGTCATTCAAGCCGACCGTACTGCACGCGCAGACTGCCATTATGAGGGAAATAGTGGACAGGTTCTTCCCCGACAATTGGGTAATCAGTATTTACATGGGGACAGTGATCAGTCTGTGCGATTGGTGGTCACCGTACAAAGCTGCGCGTACGGCGTTGAATAACACACTCGAGAATTCCAATGTGAAGGGGATTGCGCAGAAGTACGGGGCAAAGATGGACGTGAGTGAAAGTTCAACAAAATTTTTCCATAAATTTTCTCTTGTAAAGCTCTCTATCGTGGAAAAAAAAAATACTTCAGAAATTGACGCAAGAGACCGAAGAGGTGCAGCTGGCGGGCACGCTGGACGAAAGCGCGACGGGTTCGCTAGTCAAATTGGTGAGAGAGTGCAACGTTACGTTGCACTGGATTCTTCTGCACACCGCCACGCCTACCATAGCGTTAGAGGACTCGAAACGTTCGCGTACTCTACGTCAGTTGGTCGTGATGGAGAGCAAATATACCACAGTGAAATGTCTTCGTTTACTACTAAGCACCGCTCAAATCGAACAGGATGTTAAACAGATGTATAAAGATGTAAGTTCAAATTCGCTCGTCCCTCTCATCGCGATATCTATATTTGTATCGATAAAGATGTGTGTATATATATATACATTTTTTTTTATATTAGCTCTTGCTCGGAAAAGAGGCCAAGTGGCTGAAGGATAAAGGGATATGCGTCGAACGTATAACCGATCTCGCGCAAATTTTTGGTGGCGCCAAACCTCTCGACGGCATTGACAAAAACCAAAATCTTTACACGTGGTTCATGGAAATAAGTAAACACATTGATTCGCTGAAGCAGGAAGATGGGCGAAAGATAGTACAATTGCTGCAAGCGTTGGAACAGGTTCAGGGTAAAGAAACGTGAATCGCTAAATTATCCGTTCTACCTGAAGTAGATCCGTGTTCGAATCGTTCGTATCGCCCTACGGTATTTTACAATGTTTTATATTTTTCTTTCCCTCAGAATTTCATCAATTGGAAAATAATCTACACATTTCGCAGTATCTCGCTGACACGCGCGAGACGCTACACAATATGCTGCGCACGGGCAGCATATCCGAGGACATCATGATAAGCTTAAACATCGTGACCGATTGTTGCTACGCGTGGAATATTATGGAATCCTTCATCGACGTGATGCAGGAGAGCATAAAGGGCAACCCGCCGACCGTCATCAAACTGAAAGCTCTTTTCCTTAAAGTAAACACGCGTGCGATTAAAAATCATGTGACATACGTATTTAAACACATTGTACATTAATTATTTTTTTCTTTTAGATGGCATCGGCATTGGAAACTCCACTGCTGAGGGTAAACCAGGCACGAAGCGCGGACCTGTCCTCGGTGTCCCAGTATTACAGCAGAGAACTGGAGGGATATGCGAGGCGTGTCTTGCAAATTATACCCGAAACCGTGTTCGGTTTGTTGGCGGAGATAGTGCATCTCGAGACGAATTCGTTCAAGGAGATCCCGACCAAGTTACCCAAGGATAAACTTAAAGATTACGCACAACTGGCTGAAAGATTACAGGTATACGTACTCTCGCTGGCGATTCGAGTTTGCGTTTATTTAAAGGGAAACTCTAATGTTCTTACAGATGGCGAAATTAACGTACGCCGTGTCGGTTTTCACAAAAGGCGTTTTGTCGCTGAGGAGCGTTTCTTTGGGAGTTCTACGGGTCGACTCGCATCGTCTCCTGGAGGACGGTATACGCCAGGAGCTCGTCAAGAAGGTCACTTTGGCTTTGCAGAACGGCCTCAGCTTTGATCAGAAGTCCAAGGTGAATATTCCCGACAGGCGAGATCTATTTTTAATTTGCGTATTTTACAATTATACGCCTAATAAAATTGTTGCATTTCTCTAGACGTCTCTTCTACAGAAGCTGAGCAATTTATCCTCAATTATGGACGGATACAGAAAGTCGTTCCAATACATTCAGGATTACATTAACATAAACAGCCTGAAGATATGGCACGAGGAAGTGAGAGAATTATATATTATTATATATACGATCTCCGATATTGAGTTACATACGAAAATGTTCTCGTAAATATTCGCGTACGTTCTACTCTAAATATGCACGTCCTTAGATCACGTATATTATTAACAACGCGGTCGAGGAAGAACGTAGGGGCTCTTCCTGGCTACCGGGAAAATCGTGGAGGCAGTTCCAGGAAGACAAACTCGCCCTTTCAACGGACAATAACTCTTTAACGTTCATGGGTAGACTCGCCAGGGAGCTTATCCGCATTACCGATCCCCGGTACTTGGCGTCATTTGTATTTCGACGTTTCGCTCTCGCGAAATAATTGTGCTGCATCTTCTAATCCACTCGCATCTCCTTTTTTTTTCAGAACGATCGTGTACATAGAACATTCTCTAGCATGGTACGACATTAAAACGCAGAACGAGGTCTTAAATTACAAGGTTTTCTCGATGATATTAGAAACGATAGGCACACCGGGATTGTCGGGACTGGACAAGCTCGTCTCCTTCTTCATTGTCATAGAACTGGAAGCTTTGGTTCATTATATAGAAAAGAGCATACGGAACAAAACGTGGGTGTCGTTGTTGGAAGATTGTGAGGCCACTTTGAGTTCTTTGGACAGTGCTAAAGGTAGGAATTCGCATTGGTAAAGTATATATAACAAAAGTAAAGATAATTGATGCATACATATATATAGTAAAGTATCGGGGATCGCGTATGCCTCCAGGTAACATCACGAAATTTCACAATTCTATAAGCGCTAGCAGCAGCAAATTGTGGTCGTCGGCGCTCGAGTGGACGTTGAAAATAGGCCACTACCAATTACTCAGGAAAAAGATAGCGTACGAGCTGAACACCGCGTGTAAATTCGAGGCGAAGCATATGGAAGCGGCGCTTCGTACATTAAACACGTACGTGGAAATTAATCTGAGCTTTGCGATTTCTTTCCTAAGATTTCTGTTCTTAATATTTCTTTTCTAATATTCCTTTTCACTTGACAGGGCCGTTTTATGCGAGATAGCGAAAAAAGATAGCAACAACGAGAGCGAGCCGGAGAGAAGCGAATTACTTCACGAACTTAGCGTGCGTCTGGATTGGGCTGGCATCAGCGATCCGCACAACAAAGTTTATATCAAGCCACCAAAGATCGATAACATAGCTATTATTATTTTCCTACTGACGGTGTCGCAATTGAATAAATTATTCTACTGCAAAAATACAGGTATAATAATATCGTATACACATGCATTTATATTTTACAATAGAATTAAATGACATAGCAAACATTTTACTTATTTGTCGCAGCAAGTCTGTTGAGCAAGAGATATCAGGATCCCGTTGACGCTGTGGTATTTGCCTTAGGAATACAAACGATTCTTCGTCAATTCCACGTTTCTGTGATGAATCGTTACGTGAAATATCTGTGCATGTACATCCTGTCGTTTATCACCGTGGAGAGGTAAGGCATAATTTTATAATCTTAATGTCATGGACGTGACAACATCGTTTGAAACATTTATTACTAACGAGAATTCTTTTTTTTTTTTTTTTTTCAGTATGAAAGCGGGAGGAGATGCAGAAACTGAAGGAGCTACCAATCTCCATTTCTTGGAGCTTTTCGTTAAATACTCTGGCATTCCGCGTTCTCTTATTCTTAAAGAAATACCCGTCGTCGTTTTAGATCACTCCCTCGTCAAAATGACAAAATGACGCTGCATCGGAAACTCGTGAAATAATATTGCAAATTATAAACGATCATACATATTATTACATATATTCCTACATTGTAAAGATGTATATATATTTTGTGTAAATAAAAAGATAAGGAAAAAGGAAAGAGATTTTTGTCAGCGGGCGCCTCGATATTTTTATACCGACATTTCAGAAAAATTCCTAGTATTCGTAATTGAACTCCGCAATTTCGGCCACTCAGGAAATTAAAGTTTTATATTGCGCAATTTAATTATGCCTCGCTGCTGTTTTAATTTATTATCGGTTCAGATCTAACGCTCGCATTGCAAGGAAAAAAATTGCTATACGAACGTACGGCGAGCGTAGTTCACGTAAATGTAAATTACGTAAAAAGCGTGGGCGTGGCATCGTCATCGTGAAAAGTGTCCTCGCGAGAGGGATCGTTATGTGCTGCAGGGAGATCCGCATACGCATCGGCGGCTAGACGACGCATCGGCGGCTAAACGACGCATAAACGACGGCGGCGGCGGCGACGGCGGCGTCTCCTTGCGCATCTCCGTCGACCTCGCACACATATCTCTCCGTATATCTATCGCGTGCGAAATTGCGGCTGGCCATCCCGTCGGCGGAGATTTCAATGCGACGATAAAACGTCGATTGGCCGGACGCATTAAAAGAGATTAACGCGCGATCGCCCGGGCGCGGCGGCTGCGAACGGCGTCGCCGGCGGCCGCGACGCCGAGCGTCGGCGGCTACACAGTACAAAGCGACGCGGAATAGTCACCGAGCCCAGTCCTCGGGTCTCGCACTTACGAATCGAATCGACGTTTCTCTCTTTCTCTCTGGATTCACCAGAGAGAGAATCTGGTGATCCCAGAGAGAAAGAGAGAAGTGTCGACGCAATTCAACGAAAGGTGACCGGTCGGTGTATATAGCGCGTATCATCTCGCTAAAATTTTATTTCGACCGAATTTTATTACCGTCTCGCAATCGGCGGGAAGAGACACACCGAAATCTAATTCCATCTAAATTAGTTTTCGATACGTTCTCTTCCCGATTCACGTACGTCACAGACGATTTTCGTCGCACCGATGGCAAACCGCGGTCGTCCTGAAAATTTCAAAATTTCAATTAAAATCCGGAAAGCAAAATCATCGATCGAGTTAAATTATTTATCTTAAAGATTGCATGAAAGAATTGTATATGCTGAGTAAAGTGAGAAGCGTGTTGAAATTTAGATACTCTCTGACCTAGTCACTACAGAAGATATTCTTTTCGCATCTGTTTTTACTTATTCGACGCAATAATCTATCTTCTTTATTCTTTGTCATCGATAATCTAATACTTAGATGTTTTATTTTTAATTTTAAAAAACAGTTCTCTAAGCGGAAACAGAAGTTGTGGTTTTACTTTTTAACATGGAACGTTCTAAGCAAAAACAGAAGTTGTCATTTTACTTCCGTCACGCGTGTATATTGATAAATTTTAGAATTTAGGCAAATTAAAAATGCATTAAATATGCGTGAATATTAATATTTCTTGTGCGCGCAGCAAGTATAAATTGTAATTAAGATACGATTATATCTGCGCAATGATGCCTGTGCAGATCAATACTATAAATGTTCCGACATTCTGGCAAGACCTCGTAAGAAATTTATATTGTAGAAAATTAAAAAAATGCTCTTGATCGATGGCTCGATCGATCATGTACGTACGAAAACTTTTATGCAAAGAAAGATCGTTATAATTCTTTGCGTAATTGTAATATATTATGTAATTACACATTGTGAATCATACTCGCATCCTGAACGTTCATCATCGCGTTCGATGTGTCTCTCTCTTTTTGCCCCCAGAAAAACCATGCGAGCGGTGTTAGCGCTGGTGTTCGTCGCGGGGTTTATCGTAGCTTGGAAGTCCACCGTGGCGTCCAGGAATCGCGATTACCCCCATTTCTTCAAGCACCGAGTGCAGCTGAGGACGAGCCGCGACAACAGAATGAATCCTCGGCGCTACATTTCCTCGGCGATCGGATTCGGGAAGAGGGACGACCCCGCGGAGGTCCCGGATCTTAACGGATGCGAGAGAGATCAGTTGTCAGTTCTGAGGAACCTCCCGCGTGTGTGAGTATATCTCGAATCGATTTTGCAAGTGATGAAAAATCATATTATAGAAACGTCTCGCATCAGATTAAATTACGAAGAAATTTCTCGTCTATTTTCGTCAGAAAGCTCAATATATGAGCGTCAGAATACATTGCATTGATATGAAGGAAATATATTTTAAGATTTTTTTTTTTTTTTTAATTTGGTTCAGTTGAAGGATGATTTCGATCAAAAACTCAGAACATTTTCATTTTTAATTATATAATTCATTGTCCCCGATCTAACAAAATACGCTTTTTCTCCACGCGTGTTCAACAAATATACATGCAGATATAATTTTATATTAATATAATTTTACTAACAATTTTATATTATTTACTAAAAGTAGACGGTAGAATCTTTTTGATTTAAATTAATTTAATTGTCTATTAAGTTAATTGACTTAATTAGATATATCGGGGACAATGAATTATATAATTAAAAGTGCATGATGCTGAATAAGCAATTCTGGCCATTTGAATTAATCGGGAGCTTTTCGGGGTCACCGCTGATTCTCTCGTCGCGGCATCGTCGTTAAAATTAAGCGGAAAATTTCACCGGTCGTGAAATAATTTGATTGCAGCATGTCCGCGGATGCGCTAATCCGGATGATGCAGACGAATCCCGCGCTGGCTGACAAACTGGCGCAGCTGTTGATGCAGAACGATCAGAGTGGCCAAGGAGACTAGATTATGGAACCGCCGTCGCGGCCTGGGAGAACGTTCTCGTTGTTTTAATCCTTGCGACCGAGACGCAAAAAACGACGAGACAACCATTTTAGATTCTTAGACGAAACGTTTAATACACATCCTGGAAACATACGTTCTTATTAATTCTTCGCGCATGTATCGCGACGTATCATGTAGAAAAGCTGTTGTTTCTTTTCCTTTCTTATAATTCCTCTGCGAAAGAAATAATTGTACAATATACTACCAATGTATCTTATCAATAAGATACATTGACAGTATATATTGTGTATAATTACTTCTTTTTTTATCATTATTAAAATATATGTGTGTAAAATCGAAGAATAAATGGAAATGAAAATAGATGGAAAAAATAAATGCACATTTATTGTTGATGCATATTTTAAGGGATTACACCACCTTGACCGCCTAAAAATCAATCGGTAACTTTGGGAATTTTTTTTAGGAAAACAATAAAAGTAACAAAAAATTCGTTTTAAGGTTTTAATAATACAAG